TTTCCTACGCTCAAAGCCCATGTACAATAATCATAGTAAATCTCAAATGCCCATGCATTTATTTACTAATGGGTTTTAATGATTATTTAGGCCCATTAGTAAATGTGGATAGTGTAACATCAATTAATACCATATTGCTAGTTGATGTAAATATGTGGAATTTTTTTTCCTATAAATCTGTACCAACCCCTTAGGCAAAGTACATAAAAACTATCATAAAGGAAGCCCGTAGTTTAGGAAATCCTTCGTATAGTAAATTAGATTTTTCTCCTTCTCTCGCCGTCACCGTCGCTGCCTCGTCGAGCTGTACGTCATCATTCTTCTACTCATCGTTGGGTTTGCATGAAGATTGGACAACGCCCTGGTGCATCTTGTTCCCTCTCAATTCCTTTAGGTTCTCTTTTGTTTGCTTCTCCTGATTGTTCCTATCGCAGTCCACATCGAGCGCTGGCCTATTCCTGCCGCAATACGCCCAACCGAGAGCCCTGCTGCCATTCAGTCTAGCCTGCGCCCACTTTCCGTGCCTCTATGCCGCCTTGCCGTCGGCCAGCTCATCGTCTCTTCGCCTCAATCGCTAGCAACCATCGTCACTCTACCTGAATGAACTCGCCATCACGTAAGTCGCCCAGCTGTTGGAGTTGTTCACCTTGCTTTCCAAGCTTAGCGTCTCGTGCCTTCGCTGGTCCAGACCACGCAAACCTCGCCTGCATCCTCGTCACAGAGCAAGCACCATGCACGGTCGATGCATGCCTAAGTGCAGATGAACATGCAAATCTGCACATATACATAGCACATCTGCCCCACACGTTTGCTCGTACAGGTTTTTCTTGGTTTCTGTAATCTACATGTTAGTGACGTATGAGCTTATCAATTTAAATATTAATATGACTAATATTCATGTAACTGAAACAAGTTTAACCTTGGCGTTTTCACAAGTCAAATGTTAATTCGATTAATACCAAATTAAACATGCTTTTAGCAATAATTCGCTTAGTTTAAACATGTTGCATATATGACAAACACGTTTAGATGCTTTCACATGCACTTTTCTTTTATAAAAGTTAAAGTTTAATCTGATTAAATTATATGATGACTAAAACATGATTAGATATAACTCGACTTTTGAAAACTAAATATGCTTTGATTAATCGAAATTAATACTATTTATATAGTTTTCTTAATTAAAATAAATCAAACCCGTAGTTACTTCTTTTATAATATAAAACTCTCGATAGTCGTTTCTTTTTAACGATAGCTCTATTATCGGTATTTCTTGCGTTCTCTGGATTGTAGCAGCGAGTTCTCTCTTAGCACGCTATTTTAAAAGCTCTTGCTCTACTATTCTTAGTTGCTTTTATTTGTTGCTTGTATGTTTGGCTATGTGTGATGCTTGCTACTAGTAGAACAAGATCCGTTTATGGGTGCTGAAGATCAGAAGGTGATGACCAGAAGCAAAGTATGAGAAAAATATGAGCAGGAGTAAAAGACGAGTATACATGGGACCGTACTTGTTACCTATTCACTTTTAATCACTTAATTCATATTGCATGTTTCTACCTTGTTGTCAATAAGGATATCTTAGATATTTGATATCTTGTACCTTGATATCTATGGGGTATTGCATTGGGTAGTATGATGCTAGTGCTCAATTAAAGACCATGATCTTATAACTTGACTAATGGTATATGTAATAAACACTAAAAGATGCTTTTTAGCAACATGGAACAAGGGGCCTAGAGCATTGGTCTATTTTTATGGTGCCCTAGATTCCTCTCCATAAGGACTTATCTGTAAGTGATAATCTAGGACTTATAGTACAATTGTGAGGGCTACATGACTCTGGCTTTAGCTCAGTATGAGGACCTTTTCTAGCTTGTTAGAGGTTACCTTTATTGACGTAAGAATGGCTTGCCGAATCGGGTATAGTACGGCCTCTGTCCCCTTGTATATAGGCTGCGCGTCATTGTGCTATCGGAAAGGGGGGCTCTACATCTGTTTACCGAGTGAATATAATGGCCCTAACTTGTTAGACGAACCTTTGAAAGACTTCGTAATGAACACTGTCGACCTTCCTTGGAAGTGGGTCAAGAGATTAGCTACCTCGGGCGAAAGGGTAAATCACGACTCACAGTGAAAGTATACAACCTCTGTAGAGTGTAAAACTGGTATATCAGCCGTGCTCACGGTCATGAGCGGCCTTAGAACATTTACGGAATAGATGATGAACACTAATGATATGGATGATGAAGATGCTCACTAATTATTACTGTTTATGTTATTCATTATTCATGTTTACCTGATCATGTGTTTATATGGGCTTGTGATAAACTTGTTGCTACCCAATTGCTAAAATCATGACTCATTAAAAACTAATCGCAGTTAAACCAGTGTCAGCCTTTTGAGCCTCATGAACCCCATGTTATATTTGTTGAGTACGACATGTACTTACGCTTGCTTTACTTTCCAAATATTTGGATGAAAATTCCGGATGGGTACCAGATTGCTAGAGTTTGGAGGAATTAGGCTTGTGATCAACCAGTTAGTTGTCCCTGTGGATTTGGAGTCTTCGCCTGAAGATCGGAGTTGTCTTTCTGCTGTCTATACTCTGAGGTTACATTCTGTACACTAATACGTTATGTATTTAAGCATTGTCTATTGATATTACCCTTATTTATAGCTATATGTGAGATTTGACTTCCTGAGACCACATATGGTGCGTATCTGGTTTTGTTCTTGAAACCGGGTGCTACACAACAACACAAGCAAAACTTGGTCGAGTATTTCTTTGCTTGCGTTGTTGTGGTGGTGGTTGTGGGCACTATTGTTTGTTTTCTCGACAAGTGCTTTGCATCTTCTGTGATAATTAACATCTGACTTTTCATACTCACTCATGACTGCGAATAACTTATTCACAAAAAAGCGGCGGATTTCATGCGAAATGTGACGCAAACTATCCCGTTCCAAGCCCTTTAATTGTTGTTACCATCTGTTGTGTTTGGTATGTTGAGAGTTTAGGATTTTACTTGGATAAATCTTCAAAGATATTTCATAAGGGGCTCATCTAGCTGCATGCAGTCATGAGGTCTTGAGCCATCTTCTTCTCCACTTGAAAACCCTAGAAAGTTGCCAACAATTCTCCCTAGATTTGATCCTAAGAGTGGATAGATATCATAGATTGCAGCTAGAGAGAGATGTACCGGTCATGAGTGATGCCATCGACTACCATGACGAAGCTAGAGCTGTTGTGTCGCTGCCTGCTGAGATGATGGATATTTCAAATCTTACGATGAACTCTTGAGGGTTGGTTTGCACATCAAAATTTGGTATTTTTAGCTTGTAGTTGTTTGACAATGGGTGCTCCTGTAGTTCCTTGGCAACGGGAGATCTTCTATCGAAAATCAGTTTGGCTGCCTTTCTGCGAAATGATCATGATCTTGCCTTGTTATGTGATGACTGAGCTTTTGCTCTACTCTTGTAATATTCTCTGACTTTTCTGCTATAGGGGTGTACAATCTCTGCTCTTCTCGAGTTCAGTGACCTCAATATAGGGGGTGGAAGTCGATGGGCAGCCAACATGAATCCCGAAGAATCCACACTCGTGCCCCCATCTGCACACGTATCCCACCCGTATCCTGAGAAAAAAGTGTGAAGCAAACAAATAGCCTGAAACACACGCGTTAAACTTTCCTTTCGACAACTCACCTTCCCAAAAATTGAAGTAGACAAAACATCTAATCCACTACAGGAAAAGGCAACTCTGGTGGACAAGTCGTTACCAAGGTGCTACGCCTCTCTTCCCTTCCAGAATTGGCATTTCATCCCACTGGAGTTGGCACTAAGCCCCAAAGGGGCCGCTGTTGGGGGTCTTACCTTTGGGCGCCACCCCTCTTCTCTTCTACTTCGCCCCCCTTAACCCCTCTCACGCTATGCAACTCCTAGCGAAGGTCCCCAAAGACGAAGGTCAGAGGTGGATCTAGAAATGGGCCGGGTGGGGGGGGGGGGGGCTAATAATAGAAGGAGGCTTCGAGTTGGCCTTCGATGGGGTAGGCAGAGCTGAGCCGAAGATGAGTTGGGCTGACTAGCTCCTTGTATTTGTGGCCCACATGGGGGCTGAGCCGCAGCCTAAATCCGGCCTTGACGAAAGTTGAGGTGATTGTGCAACAAGCCAGAAGGAAGGGCTAGGATGAAGGTTCACGCGCGCTCAAAGGTCAAATAAGACTGAAGGCTCAAGAGAATGTCAGGGCACACGTAACCAAAAGAATATTCTGTAGCAGTAGGTAGGTTGCTACTATCGATGCACCTGACTCAGTGTAGTAGCAGGTAGGTTGCTACTACCAATGCACCTGAATGCCCGGCAAAGACGGAGACTGAGCGGAGAAGCGTTTGGCCTTTATAGAGCTGCCTGGTTACTGTACCAAATGATGAACATTCTCCAAGTAAACCCTAATTCCACTTGAGTTTCTGCTTAAATGTTGAGTAGGCCCCGTTGCCACCTTGAGTAGCCCCCAAAGGTACCAAACACCATCCTACTTCAACAGTTCGTTTACCAAATTCTTCACAGCGAAAATCTTGCCACATATTTTGGGATCATTGCCACATGCCCACATGGGACCAAGTTGGCAGAAAAGAACTCTTGCTGTAGCTGCAGCTACAACCAAATGCCTGTCCACCTCGATCAAACTTGCATAACCTTAGACGTGGCAAATGTGGTAAGGTTTGGTTAGAAACCAAACAAACCAAACATGCACTTAGGCCACATGGTTTAGACCAAATAAAAGATTAAAATTAGGAAATTCAAATGCAGAACTTTAAGTGACAATATGGCCTCGATGTTAAAATTAATATCATTATTAGTGCCGGCTTTAGCATTTTTCACTCAGGAAGATACAGCCTCACAACAACCGTTGAAAAGGAAAAATCAGTACACGATGGCCACAAACAAACATGCAAGAGCTGAAAGTAAATTCCGGGTAGTAGAGGTCGAACGTCCAAGGCTCTTGCTATCTCGAGTCCACAACGGTGCCTTCTGGAAGCGCAGACAGGTGCACAAGAGGGACATGAGATTTCAGGGAAGCATTGGCACCAGTGATTTTGGTCTCCTTTGTTCTGTTGAGCACCTTCCTCACCTCGTCTGCAAGCTCTATGATTGAATCATCTTCGTGGCCTGAAGAGGGCAGAATAAGCACAATTTGATGTTTGAGTCTTAGGATGTAAATACTGACTTAACAGAAAGCGCATACATGAACTACTCCTAGGTAATACCATATTTTAGGTAACACAAGGGGTATAAACAGACAGATATTCGAGTGTTAAACACTTAAAAAGTATAAAAAGAGGTTCTCTTACTTATGCTGGCTAATGCCTTCTCCATTGAGAACAGGTAATCCCTATTATAGCCAGTAGGGCCATTGGCTGTAGCAATTTGCCTGCCATTGCAAACAAGATTACAAGTAAGAATAAGATGCTTGATCAAATAGAATGTCCAAAAGAACAATAAAGGAGTGCAATGTCTCACCTTGCCATATCCTGCAAAGGAGCAGGGCCAAGGTAGTACTTGTTGCCAATTGGATCTGGAGTGGACACAAAACTGCATGAACAACAAGTTATGAGTTCCACAGAGAAACAACAACGGATAGCATGGAATTGGTATTTTTGGTTTTGGAACTTCAGATCCTTACACTAAGACGCCAGTCACAGCTGGTTTCAGGGGATCTCCTTCCTGAACAATACATCAAGGGAACATGAGAGTTCTGAAAGAAAAAGAAAAACTAGTTCAAAGCTAATTGTTCACACAAATAAATAATACCTTGTAGAAATCAATGGATATCTTCTGGTCATACTCACACTCCCTTCTCTCCAAGTACTGAAATGCCAAGGTAAACTTTCAGTGTAATTCTAGTGTCACAAATATAGTTGTTATTTCTTTTGAACTGCAAAACACAGGGGAGAAAAGCAGTGCACCTGCATTGCTTTTCGCTCTTTTTCTGGACCACCCTTGACACAATATGCAATTCCCCACTGCCAAAAAAAAGAGGTTTGAACTGTAAATAGGATCAATACAAGGAAACTAGTATGGGAATGTTAAATGTGAGTAGCATCTGATGGAAAGAACTTGGAATGGACATATCAACATTCATCAGAAACAAAAAGTCAGAACTAAAAGTGCCCAGCAAGCGTTTGACACAAAAGAGTAACGAATAGAGTAGAATACAAACAGGCCAAGCATGCTCTCTAAATAGGTTAGAGCTTTTGAAAGATGAGAAATTGTGGGTGGATTCCAGATGCCAGCCATTGATCTTGCATGAGTTTCAGGCGATGTATAGTACTCTACATGTTGTGTTAAAGTCAGATATACAAGTCCATATATCTACTGCCTGTGGAATAAGTGAGAACTTCCCTAGGCCGTTTCATCACTCAGATGGTCATGGAAATGACACTCAGGGTAACTATTTGTCATACTATAAATTCGCCTCCTAAAGATGGGAAGAGTGTTGTACAATACCATTTTAGGCGTACAGAATCACCTGCAGTAAGCTATGATAATTCATCTTTGCAACAAGAACACTGAAAACAGGGGAAATAAAGATAAACATGAAGTGGTCTCTTACGCATATGGCCTCGTCGTCAGTTTCAAGCGTGCAGGTCCTCGCCGGATGCACCGGTGTGCCTCTGTGGTCAATGCAAGCTGCAGGGGAACAAAAAACAAAACAAGGGAGGAAGTTGAGGTTGAGGTACGGGTCAACGAGGGTGTACCCAAGCAAGCGCCTGCAAACAAACATCCATACCGAGATTAAAGGTCCGCTTGTAGCCTTTGATAAAGCCAAGGATTTTGTCGTCGAAGTCGAAGCCGGGGTTCCAGATGAGGGACCCGTAGCCGAAGACCCACAGCACCATCCTGCACCTTGTTGTGTATCCAATTCCCCTGCAGAAACAGAAGCAGAGACAGAGTCAAATTCACAGTCCCAATCCGAACCATGGTGCTACCCGCAAGACGAGAACCTTCCGAAAATGAATCCCAAACACCAAAACGACCCAATGCTTGCGCCGGCATGCAGAGCACCCTCCAAATCCGACCGTCACACCGCATTACACAGTGGCGGCATCCCTATCCGACCCCACCAAAAGAATTCCCATTGCAGCAATCACCTGGATGAGGAGAAGCCGGAGGTATGGCGCGGCCGGCAAGAACGACGCGCCGACGGGCACGGGCGGGCAGGAAGGATCTGGGATTTTTGTGTTCTCCTCTGCCTGTCCCGTCCCGAGCCCCCGCTTCCCACGGCTCGGCCTTGCTGCCTCACCAGCCCTCTTCGCCGACCTGCCTGCCTGGGGATTCAGAGAAGATAAAGAGGGAGGAAGAACCGGTGGGCGCGGGGCCGCCTTTATATCCCGCCAGGCGCCAGCATACGCATACGCATACGCATACGCATACGGACACGGCACGCGGCCTGTCCTGGTCCCGGCGCAGCGAGCGAGCGGATGACCTGGATGAAGATCAGGACGGTGGATGCAGGACGGTGTGGCCTGTGGCTGGTGGTCACCGGCACGTGATGCCTCCGGCGTGCGTGGCGGCCACTCCTCTCCTGCCGCGCCCCGCCGTTTTCCAGGGGATCTCGCAGGAAAACGAGGCCCTTGTTTTTTTCTCGTGGCGGAGCACGCACGTGAGAAGGGCATGGGCGCTGTACGGACTTATAGCCGGCTCGGAGAGCAAGGGTTTAACATACTGGCGTGCCGCTGGATTCAAACGACCAGCGGGTGCAATGCATCTGGACAGGTTTGGGTGCCAGCGGTAGGGATGAAAACGGATCAGATACGGACGGATATCATTGATATTATATTTGTTTTCATATTTCTGTTCGGATTTGGATCCGAATACGGATAGTGTTAGCCATGCCGGATAGGATACGATTGGGTATCGACATTATAAATATGCGATTTGAGTATTTGGATACGGATACGGTATCGGATGTTGAATATCCGGATTCGGATACGGACATATTTGACCCCTCTAAACGGATTCGGTCTCGAATACGATCGAAAAATATCCGTACCGTTTTCACCCCTACTAGGGGGCCATGGAGAGGCTTAAGTTCAATGAACCCGTCAGACAGTTCATCGGGGGTTGAGGCCGGCCACGACTGTCACGCGTCGAGCGGGTCAAAGTCCAAGTCCAAGTAGATGGATGGTTGGTGGTTGCAGCGGAGCATAAGGCTGTCTCCAACACTAGATTCATTCGTGGAACCCAAATTGAAAATAGGATCTCCAACATAATATCTATAGTCTTCAACAGAGTACATATATAGAAGACTTATTTTATGTGCTAGGAGAGGTATAAAGTATCATCTCTCTTGGAGACCTATTTATAGGAAGGGTTGTCTTTGGGTCTTGTTGTTGGAGAAGACAAAAAATAGATATTGAACCTTTTGCCTGTAGCGCTACACAAAAAACGAATGGGTCTTATATTTTAGGTCGCGGTTGTTAGAGACAGTCTAAGGATGACAAATTTGGATCGGCTGAAGTCTCTGGGTACTCAAAATCCTCGAAATCAAAACCCGTGTATCTCCGAAACCCGATGGATTATCCAAAACCCGAAAACATTACAGCAAATCAGCAAAGAACTGCACTCCAGAACATGATAAATTAGCAAAGCTTATTGAAGATAAATATATTATAACTTATTTCAACAAGATGTAGCCATGAACGTACTAGCAAGCAACAGCTAGCCATGTGCTGAATATGTAGAACATGTACAGATTACAGAAAAATAGATACATAGTCCATCTGATTGCGTGCTCACCTCGACGCCTCTCCACAGGCTGCGTGCAACGGCGGGCCACCCCTGCTGGGCGTGCGCGCTGCGTGCCCGACGGTGCCGGCTACCGACAGCTGGCAGATGGTGGAGCAGCGCCGAGGACGAGGAGGCCGCCCGCCGTCGAGGGCCGAGCGCCGTGAGGGACCCGCCATCGAGGGCGAGAGAGAGAGAGAGAGAGAAAGAGAGAGAGAGAGAGAGAGGCGGGCCCCCCTGGCAGGTCTTGGTGTGGCAAGTGCCTGACGTCTGCCCGGCACTGACAACCGGGCAGATGGTGGAGCAGCCAGACGAGGAGGAGGGCCATTGCCGAGGGCCGAAAGGCCGTGAGGGACCCGCCATCGAGGGCCGAGAGAGAGAGAGAGAGAGAGAGAGAGAGAGAGAGAGAGAGAGAGAGAGAGAGAGGGCGACTGCTGACTAGCGTACCGAGGAGCCGGTGAGGTCGCGAACGCAAGGGCATGAGGCGTCGCCGCCTTGAGACTTGAGCAGAGCGCGGGGAAGCGGATGAGCGCCAGCTGCCGCCCTGGTTGGGATGCGGCTGTGCTGAGAGAGTGAGTCAAGATTTTAGGCTTATATACTTAGGGTTGCTAGTTGGGCTTCTAGTGGGCTGAACTTTCGGGCGGGGAGGCTGATGGAGCTCCACGGGTGAAATTAAGGAACCACCCCAAACCTGTAGTATTTTGGGTATCCAAACCCGAAAATCCGTGGGCGAAAACCAAGCACCAAAACCGAAACCTCCGGACACGAAACCCACGGATATTCGTCCCGAACCCAATCCGTTGCCATCCTTAGCTGAGCTAAGGGGTGCTGCCAGGGCCATCCCTCCCACCCCCACCCCAGCCACATTTCATAACAAAAAATGGTACTAGTGTAGCTTTATAATTTTTATTAGCAAATATGTCGATGCATTACAACGGGATGTACTGCTCATAAACTTTACACACATAACCTATTATATGATAACCTGGCGTTTGAAGGAAAAGAAAGATGAAAAAACACACGTAGAAAAATTCAAATGAACAAAAAAGTGTGAACGAAAAAAACCCACTAGAACATGGGAAAATTTTAAACAAAAAGGAAAACAGAATTTGTTTTTGGAAAAACAGAACGTTACTTGCACTCTGCTGTTTTTATGACATCTTCAAAAGAACACAACAACATGCTTGTGCGGGACATTCTTCACTGCGCAGCACAATGCAAATCTAATTACTTGAGTCTTGAGTAATTTACCCAAATCTTATGAAGTTACCGAACTAAAAATATCCCAAACATTTCATTACAACTACCAACCTGCACACCCATCAGACTCATCGATAGATTGGATCAAGCAGGAGCAGAAGCAAGCAAAACATATTGAGGGGAGAAAGCGACAAACAGTCATTAGCGTCAACCAACTGTACATGGGAGGCAGTGCTAGGCTGGGACATGCTACTGAGGAAGAAGTAACCACCAGCACTGCTCATCATCCTCCTCTCATAGTCTCACTTCTTTTCGCTTGTTGCACTGCTCCGTCCACCTCCTTGACTCTCATGGAAATCCTCTAGCTTATTAGGTGTACTGGGGTGACCGTGGTTGCCGATAGGAAGATGGATGGTGTTGTGGGGTAGGAAACACAACAAGCATTGTTATTCGAGTCAGTGTTAGAGTACGTGTCTCCGGTGGCTCGGGTGGACTCAAGAACACAAGAATCACAGAGAGGACACGATAGTTTATCCCGGTTTAGGCCGATCGATGCCCTACGTCCAGCTGCTGATGATCTTTATACTCGAGAGCACCCAAAATCGAGGGTTACAATAGAGTGTACAAGAGGAAGAGAGATTTGGTAGGGGGTTAGCTTGGTGCTAATTCTGAGGTTACCTCGCCGCCGGTGGAGCCTTCCCCTCGTCAGAGAGGAGGAAGACGACGAGTGCGATGGAGGAGCTCTCGGTGCCCCTCTTTGGGTTGCTGTACTCTCGGTGCTGAGCAGGAGCGGATCAGTGAGGAATGGAATGATCTATCTGGGATCGTCCCCCTAGAATCCGACCATACCCCTTATATATCGAGATAGGTCGGGTACATGGCGGTTTAGGGGGTTCAACCTATGGTCTACATGCGCCAGAGTCCAGTAGGGTCTTGTAGCGGCGTTCTGTGGACTGTGGCGATGTTGTGGAACCGAAGAAGCCCTGGGCATCGTCTGGCTAGCCTATTTTGACATGCTAAGTGTCAGGCTATGTAAGCTTGGACCAGCCTCCCCTAGACGCGCCTTCTAGAGTCTTCTTGGTGGCGAGGGAGGTTGGCTCGAGGGGCTGACGTGCAGGCCTGGAAGCTGCCGAGCCCCTAGAGTCTGAGGAGGTGCTTGTCCTCTTATGTCACGCCCTGTGCATGACCCTATTGGGGGAGCGGCCGGCGAAACCGCGCCCAAGGTGCAGCGTTAGGGAGCCTCTGAGCCTTGATGGCTCAGGGTGTGTCTTCTTGTGCCCGGGCCTTGGCTAGCATTATAGGCCGAGCAGGAGCTAAGGATCGGGTTAAGGCTTCTCGTCGATCGGGTGCCTAAGGCTTGGGCGAGCTACCGAGCCCTAAGTAGAGGCCACGGCGTGCTCAGGCTTGGTCGGGTTTCTTGGTCTAAGGGTGCACGCGAGCGTACCCGATGGGTATAGCCCCCGAGCCCCCAGGCGGTCCTGGAGGGGTCGGTCGAGGGTCTCTTGGGTCAGGAACCATTGATCTCGAGGCTTAACATACCCATATGTTAGGATCTCGTCAGGAGCCCTCGAGCCCTTCGTGGCCTCACTCGACCTGATGAAAGCTCTAGTTTAGTTTTGGTAAATTAATGAAACCCTAAGTTCTAACCTAGTTCATCTAAGTGATCATGAGATAGGTAGGACTATTCCAAGTGGTGGAGCAATGGTGAAGGTATGATGATGGTGTGGTGATCATGATGATCAAGTGCTTGGGAGATGTGATGACCGATGGCACATTTGAGCAAGGGTGGAGAAGTTGGTGAAGTAAAGGAGGTGATTGTCGCTGTGAAATAGTGACCGGACGCAGGTCACGTAGTGATCGGACTCGGGGAGCAGCGTCCGATCAATTATAGATGAAGTTGGCGCGCTCGGGCTCTGTTGTTGAAGTGACCGGACGCTAGGTCAAAATGTGACCAGACGCGACAGTGGTGAGTTCGGTCAGAAGAAGCCGAGGCAGGGTAACCTAGGGTATTGCACCGGACGCTGAGCTGGGTCCAGTCGAGGTACACCGAACGTGTCCGATCGAGAAAATGCGGCTCTAGATGCTCTATGGAAGTGACCAGACTCCACGTTATTGGAGCATCCGGTCATTCCATCGGTGCATCTGGTCGCTGGGTGTTGGTGCGCAGGTGCATGAGGACCTGACGCGGGCGTGGTGCGTCCAGTCAGCTTGCCTACACGTCCGGTCGTGACTTAGGCGTTGCGCTGAGTCACTTGACCGTTGAGATCATACAGATGTTGTTGAACACGGGGGACACATAGACGGTGATCAGTGACCGGACGCTGGGGCTGGTGCATCCGGTCGATCTGACCGGAGTGCCTGGTCGCCCCGAGTTGGGCTGTAGTGAGAGCCCAATGGCTCTATTTCGTGGGGGCTTCTATTTAAGCCCCATGGCCGGCTCAAGCTCACTCGCTTGGCCGTTTGCATTGACATAGCAACCTTATGAGCTTAGCCAAAGCCCTCCCACTCATCTCCATCATAGATTGATCATCTTTGTGAGATTGAGAGAGAATCCAAGTGCATTGCTTGAGTGATTGCATATGGAGGCACTTGGTATTCGTGTTTCACTGTGGATTTCGCTTGTAACTCTTGGTGGCTGCCGCCACCTAGATGACTTGGTGCAGTAAGGATCGTTTTGCAGAGGAAGGTG